CTACAGTGGTACTATTGTCATGTCTGTAGGTGTTGTGTGTTCTGAGATGAAAACAGGAACAGGAAAAGCGTGACACCGAACTGAGAACAATACTCGTTCTTCCTACCACCACGAAGGTGAAGTGGGATGGTAAAGAACGAGTAAAAAAGGATCGATCGGATGAACCGTTTGGGATCAAAGCAAAACGATCGAAATACCCTTGCTTTAGAAAAGTTTACACTGCTAGTGTTATTTGATGCCGAATAAGGTATTTTAGCGGTTAGAAGAAAATGAAGAATCCCCAAGATGGCCGCCGCTAGAACATCACAAACCAGCACTTTTTTTTAAAACTTAAGTGTCGATTTAGCCCTTAAATTTGTCTGAATGTAAAATCTGAGTCGACTCTGAGTCTATCCTGAGTGAGTTCAGAAAATAAAACCCGTGGGACCTCAAAGCGAACGAATTTAAGAAACGTCGTCTGCTGGTTTGTTATGTTCCGTGGCGGCCATCTTAGGGATTCTTCATTCCTTCAAACCGCTTAAACACCTCATTGAAGCCAGTGCTTGTTGAGAAAATGTCGAACCGCGGTTGACCTTACCTACTGTGAGCTTGAGCTTGACTGCGCCAGAGCAGAAAACGCCAAGTGACTTGAACACCCTTACGAGGCGGGTCTGATGAGCCGCTAACCAGTCCTTGTCGTAGTTGAAGTAGATGGAGCTGTCAATGTCGACGCTGCGCAGACGGGGTAGAGCCGATTTATTGGTTTCCAGGTACCGCGCCAGGGCGGGGAGCGAAGCAGCAGCATTGGGATGGCCGCTGTCACCGCTGGACACGTTGACGTCAAGGCTCAGCAAACATGGCAGCTCACCGACTGCAACGAGGTAAAAAGAAAGGTACACCTTCGAATTCAAGCGAGAATGCTCCAAAACCGAGGGGGTATACACTAAAATCATATGAACATATCTATTCAGAACTTACTAAGATCTGAAAACATGCTTCGCATACACATTTTAAAGATGCCAGTATGTTAAAATTCGTTGACACTGGCATGTTTAAAAATGCGTAAGCGGAGCATGTTTACAGACCTCAGCCAGCTATGATATTCGTGTGTGCATTCTAAATGACAATGGACTTTACTGTTTCTAGCTCATGGACTTTTCGGCGCATGTATAAGCCGGATAAAATATTACGTGCTGTTAGTTTCAAAGTGTAACTAGTTAGTTTCCAATTGTAAATGGCAGAACAAAGTACTGAATCATCTGGCTTAGACTAGGCACAGAATTCCAGAAGTAATCGTAAGTAATAATGAAGTCCAGGGTCATTTAAAGCATAGTAACGACAGGAACACTGTGAAGAGTATTCGGTGTTACAATGTACACACGTGAGCAAAGTTAAAGCCCCACTTTTATGACAGGTCATAATTTTTAAGTGTGATGAGATAGAAAGTTGCCGTTTGGTTGACTCTGTGCTGCTGGCGCTGGCATGCATTTTACAGCTCTCTACGGCCTTACTACGAGCCTAAATGCAAAGGGTCTGAGAAAAGGTCAGATATTGGTTAAACAAGCAGGCCCGCCCTTCCGCCAAACGGAGTTGCCAGCTCCACTTCGCTGCGCAGGCAACTTCGTTCGGCAGGGGTCGGGCTAGAGATGGGCACTTTATGCGAAAAAAAAACTTAAAATTATGCGCTGAAATTTGGCTTGATTATGCGATAATTATGCTTTGGAAATATGGCAATTGTGCGCCCATAATTCGATAAACTAAGCACTTTTATGCGAAAAATGTGTGAAAAATGTTTAAAAATCGCGCCCAAATTCCCGCACTGTGCGAAAAAGTTCAAAATTCAACATTTCTTTGGCTAAAACTACGTTTATCCAGTTCTTTAACAAAAATGTCTTTAATAGGGTGGTTGCTTTGACCCAGTGGAGCTAACAGGTGTACGAACCAAAATTTGGTGTACAGGTAAGATGCCTTTTCGCTTGCTGGAAAACACTCCTTTGGACAGCGCAAAGGAAGAAAAATCAGTTATTTCCGGCAAAAGACCCACGTTTTTATTAAAACATACAGTTAAAACACGACAAAAAGTCTAAAATCTTGATAAATTTGCAGTAATTTCGCTATTTTGTTCGTGGAAAATGCGAATTATGCGCGTAGAATGCAAAAAAAACGTTATGCGGGAAAAAATGCCAAATTATGCGAAATTAAGCGGGCTGGAAATGCACTGTACAATGGTCCATTAACATTAAAAAATTGATATCTTTCCATTTTGAACGATTCTAAAACATTATGCGAAATATGTGATCACTGTAAAAAAAATTAGATGGAATTTTCCCCTCCCCGCGTGGCAACGCTCCTTTGCCAGCTAGTGTTCGGTAAATTTACAGACCCAAATAGCCTGTAAATCCCCGGCCCACTGGTGGGGAAATTTACAAGCCAATGTGGTTGGGAAAGGAGTCTTTCCAACCCACCCAAGTAAATTTACTACGTGGGCCATTGCGCGCGTGTGAGGATGACTTTCGTGCCCACCGTATGCAAATCTCCAGCCCAGGACAAGGATGGCGGCGTTGCCACTCCACTAGCACAGGAATTTCCTCTCCGAGAACAGTCCTCAGGAGGAAAGTGCGAGTTTTTCGTATTGCTCTCGGGCCGACTGGACTGTATAATATTCCACCGGCTTCCGAAATCAGTTTCAAAAATTGATCATCGATCTCAAGAAGAGAACAAGTCATAGCAGCGACACGTAGAGTCACAAGTCACATGGGAAGTACGCACGTGGGCGTCCCTCTCAGTGACGAGGTGACGGGGACGTACTGAACAAGACATCGTTGCGGAGACCTCCCGAGCGTTACAATTTAACAGATTATTTGGGGGATATGGTTCACTTTTTCGGCAAACGCCGATTGTTGTCGGGTAGGGTGATTCCTCCTAAAACATACTGCGTAGAACTAAATGCCATTACCTGAAGGGAGTTTTAATTTAATAGAAAAAGCTGATTTTGTGAAGGGAGTTTTAATTTAATAGAAAAAGCTGATTTTGTTGGAGACGCGCTGACTGAAACGCCATCTAGCGGCAGTCAATCGCGGGCTTCGCGTCGGGGTGGACGAGGTTAAAGAAAGGAGGTGATTGGTGTGGGGTGATGTGGCGTCAGTGTAGTAGTAGTCCGAACCCACGTCTCCTTCCACGACGCTGTGGCAGTCACGAATTTGTGGGAAATTTGCAGCCGCCGCAAGGAGATTTGCAGGCAGTGGGATGCGCAAGTACACTTTTCTGCCCACGGCCACGGGATTCCCTCGTCGGGCTGGGGATATTCGCAGACGGTGGGTGCCGAACGGACCCTTTCTAGCCCACGTCGGGAAATTTGCAGTCAATGAAGTCAGTAAATTCACTTGCGTGGGCAGGAAAGGATCCTTTCACAGCGCAAGTGGCATGCAAAGGATACTTTCCATTCCAGTAGGTAAATTCCCAACCCATGTACTGCAAATCCCGAACCTTTGTACATGAAATTTCCCCACCCAGTAGCTAGTAAAATTACTAATATTTTTTACAGTGATGGCATAGAGTGACCATCTCTAGTCGGGCCTGCTTGGCCTGCCGGCGGCGATGGTCGGGCCTTGGCCCGACCATTTCAGTCACGCGATTTATGGGAGTACATAATCAAATAAATAATGTGACCGGAAAATCACTTCGCATATTTGAGTAAACTAAGATGTCCGGCGGGGGGCCTGCGGCACTAGAAATTTGCTCCTTGGACATGACAAAAGACTGTAACGGGGCAACACCGTGACTACACCCCACCCTTCTGCTTTACTTAAGAATTAAGAAAAACTAACCAGTGAAGTTTTTAGATTTTATTGTTTGTCAAACAGTCTAAAAACTTGACTTTTTTGCCATTGTTTTCAATATATCCACCTCTGGGGCCGGAAACAGCAATTTTTAGCTTATTTTCGTTAAAAAAGCTACGTCGAGGGACGTATCGTGAAAGCAGATGATACAAATTTAAGGATACGTCTGTGCCCTAATTTTCTTTCATATTTTGCTATTATTTGGTTATGGCTGTTTGTCACTTTTAGCAATTGCTTTCTTGCAAATCAACGGACTAGCGGCATGGCATAGAGGAAGAGATAGGGGGCAGCAGGCAGGCCGGCCGGCATCCGTGGCTCAGTATTGTTGGGTATTGTTGGTGGGAACGGGCGGCGGGGCCGGCTAGCGACTTCTCGCGTCCCCTTTACATCTGGGTGACGTCATGCGCGTTGGTTCTCTGCCCTTATCGAGAGTACAAGCTAGCTGACACCTTAAAGTTACTTATATATTCTTTATGTTTAGTCAAAAGCTATTTAAGGTATCATCTGCTAAAAAGACCCTCTAGCTCCTAAACGGTTAGGGATAGAGCCAAACGGACGAAACTTCCGGCCAAAGGACTATACTTTCACGAGTTGTTACTCCTTGGGAGACCATAAAAAAAATATTTGTTTCCTACTTTTTGGACCAACCCCTATTTCTTTGTTACCCCCTTTCACCCCCTTAGGGGTGGTTGCCAGGATTTGCACCAGGCGTTTCGTTGTCCAAGAGTGACCCGTAAGATACCCTGGAATTTGTAGACCTCTAGCTTATCTCCTTCCTCTTACACGGACGACGAAAGGACGGACGGACACGAGAGCGGTTGCATAAGCCTGCTTTAATACTTTTTTAAAATCAGAAGGGCAGGCTTAAAACGGGCTTTTTTGGTTGTTTTCGGTTGACTTGCGTCTCAGATGTCAATTGGCCGATCTGAATATCGCCAAGAAAAACGTGAGCCCTAAAATCGCATTTTGGAGGTGGATCCAGAAACGAGGGGTCAGGGGTGGTTGCTGCTGTGGGGCCAGAGGTGGGTGGAGGGGGTGAGAATCACCAAAAGGCGTCACAGGTCATCTAAACATTGAGTTGGGGTCACACGGCGACGTAGGGCACTCAATTTTAACCAAGGTGCCGTCTTCAAATGATCGATTCATGATTCATCAATTTAGGGGTGGGTAGAAGGGGTTGAAAGTCGGCGAGGGTGGTTTTGAGGCACGGCACTCGGTTGGCTATACCTTAGAGACTATACACACATCCGTTTTCAGCCCGATGCACCTTCTCAGTGGGTCATGGGAGCGTCACAATGCAACCTTTGATTCCGAACCACACTGGAAAGTGTGGTGTCGCGGTACGTTAGAACCTTCAACTCGCGAACCGTTTGAAGTGGAGGTCTGTGCTCTTGAGGACTGTAGACCACACATAAGCCTACCCTTTCACCAAACGGAAACTTTCTACCTCACCACACTCAAAAATTATGACCTGTCAAAGAAGTGGGGCTTTAACTTTTTGATCACGAGTGAATAATATGTTATTATTAATCCTGTAGTA